CTTCACCTCCATTAAAGCATGTGTGTGCATATGCATGTGCTTGTGCATGTGTGTGTGCATGTGCAGGTGAGCAGATACACACATGCACGCACTCGCTCAGGGCTGGACCCTCATGGTCCGGAAATGTGACTTCCTCTCCCGGAAGCCTGGTGGTCCCAGGAGAAGCCCAGACCCGCCAAACCACAAAGACCTGGAGGCCATGGGTGGACCCTAGAGTCAGGCTCACTGTTAACCCAGAGCCTTGCCAAGCCAGGCCTGGGCCCCACGTCCTTCAGGCCAGGGCGGTCTTCCAGGCAGGTGGCCTCAGGCTTTGCCTCTCTCCAGCTGGCTCCTGAGGCCACATTTCTATAAACACTGCGTCTGCCCGGCCTGGGTGATGGGGCAGTGAACAGCCCTGCCCGCTCCCTCCCAGCAAGTGTCCACAGTGTGCAGAGGGGAACATGTGCGAGAGGCAGGTGCAGCCTGATTTGCAAAGTGGCTGCAGTGCCCCAGCGTCCCCCATTGAGGATGACACTTTGATTTATTATTTCTGAGTGACTTCCAAGGGTAGGAACCAATTGTAATATATTACATACATGTGTTCACACTTGTGAAATATATGTGCTTTGAGGTGTCCCCCAAATATATATACCACAGGGTGTCCTTCCAAATGTAAACACACTTTAACGGCTGATAACTCAATTTTCACTCCATTTCAGGGTTAACAGATTTGACGTAATGGGTGAAGCCAGACTAAACTTTGAACAAAGATGTATCCTCTGGACTTTCTTTTGGGGACACATAAAGGATGAGGTGTCTGGCACAGAAAGGGCCACAGTCCAGGCATCGAAGCTGCTGTTGACAGAAGATGTGAACAAACAGAACGCAGTGATTCTTGGTGTTTGCGATTCCGTTGCTTCCTCAGCAGCAGCGCCTGGACCAGAACTAAGGCAAGCGAAGGAGGCGCAAACAACAAGAATCGTTCCTTCGGTTTGGTGTTTGTACGTATCTCTTTCCATAGCTGCCCTGGATTCCTCAACTTTATCTTTTATGTATCCCCATAAAAAGCCTAGTGGAGAAATTTTCTTCATTCAAAGCTTAGTTTGGCTTCACCCATTTTTTCCAATCAGTTAAACTTGAAAAGGGGTGAAAATTCAGTGAGTTGTCAGCTGTTAATCTGTGTGCACATATTTTTGGAACTCTACTTTCTGTTCCATTGGGAGTCATTCTTTTCCACCGGAGTCTTACCTGTGTGTACATTGGAGGGGGGGCGCCCTATATTTATGTTCAAAAGGCAGTCATTCTTGTCCTTCAGGAGTTGATTTATTATTTCTTTTCACTGTGTGCACATTTTTTGGACCACCCTATGTTTACATCCCATAGGGAGTCATTCATTTTATCAGGAGTCTGACCTCTGTACACCATTCTTGTGGACACTCCATGTTTATATTCCAAAGGGAGTCATTCATATTCATTGGGAGTCTGACCTATGTATACCTTTGTTGGGGGGACACTCTATGAATGTTCTATCGGGAGTCATTTGTTTGCATTGGGAGTCTCATCTACTGCTGTGTGTATTTGGCCAGGTTCGTGACACATTTTTTTTCCTCTTGCTTACTAAAGGTGCTCATTGTGGGATGTACTAAACCTGGTGATTTGGGTTCTATAAGGATTTTCTCCATTTGAGCTAAAGTACTGAGAAAGAAATGTTAACATGGTCCATTTTCTGAGTGCTTTGAATTTTGTATTAAGTAGCCATTGATTCTGGAACACAAGGACGGTTTTGTAATAAAATGAGATGTAGAATTGAGTCCTAGTTTTCCTCACCGCTCGTCACTGGCAGTGCTGTTGGGGCGTTGGGTCTCCAGGGTCCCTGCTCATCCTCCCAGTCTCCCTGGCCCCTGGAATCCACCAGCTCCCTTTGCCAGGAGGTGAGAGCATGGGAAAGCGAGGTTTCCTGTTTACCATGCAACAGCGTTTATTTTACGTTCCTATTAGTTGAATCCCATTTTTAAGTGGGATTTATAACATAACAGGAGGTCCACTTAAAGTGATCCATTGGGTTTTTCCAAGGCCACTCAACTTAGATTCAGCTGCCTCCTCCACACCTCCTACTGGGGATGTGCCCACAACCAAGGTACCTGCCTTTGACCGGAATCGAACCTGGGACCCATCAGTCCGCAGGCCGACGCTCTATCCATTGAGCAAAACCAGTTAGGGCATGACCTTCCTTTTTGAACCTCCCCTCCCTCAGCCTCCACACTAGCTACGCTATTTCTTTGTGAACTAGTTTCTCTATGGGTCACTTCAATCCTCTATCACCCCCCAACCCCCACTTTCAGTTCAAGACAAGCTTGTGCACATTCACAGCTTTCAGTGCAATCTTCCCAGAAGGTTCCAACACCTCTAGCACCAGCCTCTCCTGGGAACCTCCAGATCTGTTTCCAGCTTAGATGTCCCAAGACACCTCCAACACAAAATGCTCAGCAAACTATTCACCATCCTCCCCCACCAAAGCCTCTGTGCTCCTCCTCTCATCACCTCTGTCGCTGTCATCCAGGCCCTTGTTGGGTCTCCCGCTCTCTTTCCCATGTCCTGTTCATCACTCCCTCAGCTGCTTCCAACTCTAATGTCTCACTCACATAGCCAACCAAGCCCAGGTGGTGGGGCCCCCTGGGCAGTACCATGGGTGGTTGAGGGGGCATCCCAAACCATACCCCCCTGGCAGTACCATGGGTTCCCGTGGTTGAGGGGACAACCTAAACCATACCCCGCTGAGCTCCAGGGCCCCATCTCTACCCTGGCCTGGGAGCTGTGAGATCTGGGGGGTGGGAAATATCCAAGTGACAGCTCTGGGCTGAGGTCTGACTGCAGAGAGGGTGGGATCACCTGTGGAACCAGAGGGGCTCTCCCTGGGGAGAACAGCAAAGTGAGAAAATTAGCAGAGCCCATGGTTTGTATCTGGGAGAGAGAAAGTTACATCTGGAGAAAAACGGATGATAGGCCATCACCTCAGGACAGTAGGAGAATGGGAAAGTCTTACCTACAGATGATACAATGCAAAAACTTCAAGCATCACATCACAGTACAGATGTCTCTGATTCTCACCAAGGAGCCACCACTCGACAGCCAGTTGTCCTAGAGGTCAAATCCCCCCCAGTATTACCTACAACAATCAAGGCTTAACTACAACAAGACTGCGCACAAAGATCACAAGGGGGTGCACCAAGAAAGCATAAAAAATGCGGAGACAAAGAAACAGGACACAACTGACAGAAATGGAAGATATAGAGTTCAAAGCCACACTTTTAAGGTCTCTCAAGAACTGTCTAGAAGCTGCTGATAAACTTAGTAAGGCCCTCAAAAAGACTGGTGAGACCGCTGATAAATATAGTAAGATCCTCAAGAAATCTAATGAGACCCTCAATGTTGTGATAAAGAACCAACTAGAAATTAAGCATACACTGACTGAAACAAAGAATATTATACAGACTCCCAACAGCAGACCAGAGGAGCGCAAGAATCAAGTCAAAGATTTGAAATGCGAAGAAGCAAAAACCACCCAACCGGAAAAGCAAAATGAAAAAAGAATATAAAAATACGAAGATAGTGTAAGGAGCCTCTGGGACAGCTTCAAGTGTACCAACATCAGAATTATAGGGGTGCCAGAAGATGAGAGAGAGCAAGATATTGAAAACCTATTTGAAGAAATAATGACAGAAAACTTCCCCTACCTGGTGAAAGAAATAGACTTACAAGTCCAGGAAGCGCAGAGAACCCCAAACAAAAGGAATCCAAAGAGGACCACACCAAGACACATCATAATTAAAATGCCAAGGGCAAAAGACAAAGAGAGAATCTTAAAAGCAGCTAGAGAAAGACAGTCAATTACCTACAAGGGAGTACCCATATGACTGTCTGCTGATTTCTCAACAGAAACTTTGCAGGCCAGAAGGGAGTGGCAAGAAATATTCAAAGTGATGAATGCCAAGAACCTACAACCAAGATTACTTTATCCACCAAAGCTATCATTCAGAATTGAAGGTCAGATAAAGAGCTTCACAGATAAGGAAAAGCTAAAGGAGTTCATCACCACCAAACCAGTATTATATGAAATGCTGAAAGGTATCCTTTAAGAAGAGGAAGAAGAAGAAAAAGGTAAAGATACAAATTATGAACAACAAATACACATCTATCAACAAGTGAATCTAAAAATCAAGTGAATAAATAATCTGATGAACAGAATGAACTGGTGAGTATAATAGAATCAGGGACATAGAGAGGGAATGGACTGACTATTCTTGTGGGGGGAAAGGGGTGTGGGGGATGGGGGAAAAGACTGGACAAAAATCGTGCAAAAAAAAAAAAAAGGAGCCCCCACTCCTCCTAAGAGAAGGCAATGGCCATGTTTTCCAAATTCATATCCTGTCATAATGGGTACAGTTCAGCCCATGATCAGCACCTCTCCTATGATTTTATGTTTGTCACACTCCCCACCCTCCACAACCATCCTCTCCCTCTACTACCTTTATCTAAAGAGGTACCAGGTCTTGGTCCCATCAAAGTAATAGCTGATGAGGATACATGAGCTCTGAGCCTCACATGTAGGTCCCCTTGCCTCTTGCCAATACAGTTGATGTCCCCAACGTAGGGTAGGGAGAGATTTTGGCCATAAGTGAATGTGAGTGATTTGATACTGGATTTACCAGGCATTCTCCCCTTATGGTGCCCCAGATTGTCCCTCTGAGGCCCAGAAAAAGAAGGCATACACTTCACCCTTTGGAACTCAAGGCCATCACTTTGCACTACCTGTCACATAATTCTCTGAACCACACTTCTCTCAGACAGCCTCTTTCCCAGAGTCACAACTTCAAAGATAGCAGTAATATGCTCTGAGGAGGCCTGGTATTTGTTTTTGTTTTCTAATCACCCTCTTTCACAAAATTCTATCTCACCACTCTGTAATGTATTTCTCTCCTACCTTCTGCCTTCCCCATACCAGAAGAGATTTTCAAGCCCAGATGTCACTGATGTATGTTATCACATTCCTAATGATCACTGTATCAGCCCTCAACAACAACTGACAGGTGTGCACATATATAACACCTAAGCTCTGGACATTGCATGTAGCATGAAAACATCCCCCTTTACAAACAATTACACTAAAATTCCACATATTAACATCCAATCACCACCAAAAATGGGTTCACCTTTCATTCACTCTTAAGTCAATATCAGGGCCCTGCGGCCATGAATTCACTTATTCTCTACAAATGCACAACACTCTTTGTACTACACCTGCACTTCCACAGCCACAGCCCCCATAGTCATCTACTTGACCTCCTCCTCCTTACTCAGTATGTGTGGCCCAGAAAATGAATGCCTGGAAAATTCAAACTGGATGAAGTACTATTTCAACTGTGATAGTCCACCCTCAGAGAGGCATCCTTGAATCCTTCTATAAAGGCTTCTTTCCCTGATTGTTTTTCCCTTCAACCTCACCTATTGAGAACCACCTCAGATCTCAGATATACAGAGCCCCTCTCCACAGGTACTACACTTGATGCCAGTTCCCCAGTCACAGCCTTCAGCACTTAAGTCCCATGGCCTATGGCCCTCTACCCCATGCCCAGGGAGTCTGACAGATGACCACTCACACACCTAAGCAAATCAATCAGACTTATTACAGCATTCCAGACTACACCAAGGCTCACACCAAAATCCTGGTATGTGTTTAACTAATAAATATGCAACAGCTGCAGTCTCATCTTACTTGAATTGCTCTTTGGTCTCGAATTAAAAAGAAAACAACAAAAAAAAATCTATAATTCAACCCTGGTCTCTAAACTCCTGACTACCTGGGAGTGTAATTCAGGGGAGGAATCTGAGGAAAAGGATGGAAAGGCTGAGAAAGAAGCCGACCCAGAGCCACACTCCTCAGTTCTAAGCCACAGGCCCCTGCTCAGGACCTGGCAGCATCAACCCAATAAGATCACAGAGGAAGAGGAGGAGGACAACGCTTCAGGGGAAGCTGAGGGTCTGTCAGCCATCCCCACCACAAGTGCTTTCATGAAGGCCTGGGTGTGTTGGCCAGGAGAGGACACAGAGGAGGAAGATGAGGACAGTGATTCAGGAGTATCTGAGGAGGAGGGAGAAGCTGAGGGTCCCTCTCCCATTCCCCCCACAAATACCTTCTTGAGGGCCTGGGTGTACCAACCAGGAGAGGACACAGAGGAGGAAGAGGAAGATAGTGATTCAGGAGCAGCTGAGGAGGAGGGAGAAGCTGAGGGTCCCTCTTCCATTCCCCCCACAAGTACCTTCTTGAGGGCCTGGGTGTACCGGCCAGAAGAAGATACAGAGGAGGAAGATGAGAATGAGGATGAGAAAGATGATTCAGAGACAGCTGGCTCAGACCCAAGTTCTTCCCTTCAGGCCCAGAGTGCCCTCCTCAGGGACTGGACATACCCACCTGGAGAGGAGACAGAGGGAGTGGAAGCTGCTGAGGAATGGGGAGAAGCTGAGCCCTTCCGAGTGGCCATCTATCTACCAGGAGAGAAGCCACCACCTCCCTGGCCTCTTCCTCGGCTGCCCCTCCGACTGCAAAGGCAGCTCAAGTCTGCAGGAACCCCCACCCGGCATCCGGACCCCGAGACTCCCCAAAAGGCCAGAAAGGCGCACTTCTCTGAGAAGGTCTCCATCCGTTTCCTGATTGTCTGGGCTGGACCAGCCCAGGCTGCCCGAAGGGGCCCCTGGGAGCAGTTTGCCCGGGATCGAAGCCCCTTTGCCCGCCGAATTGCCCAGGCTGAGAAGTTTTCACCCTGAACTGATCTTCAGAGTTCCCGATACTCATGAAGTGCTCTCTGAAATATTGCATACCCTAACAGGTAAAATATTGAAATTATGGTATCCCCAATGAACATTACACTCACCACTATGAATATCTGCATCTCAGCTGATGCTGAATCCATACCTCCAGATGCCAAATGTAAACCTTCATATTATCACTGACTCATACCTCTTTCTACACTTCAAAATTAGAAAATCCAGGTGGCCATACCTAAATGTCCAGTCCAGAATCCAACGACTTATTTCACCTCCACAGCCACTATCATGGGACACTTACTATCACACTCACCAAAACTACCACATCAATCTCCATCCTTGTCTTTCTACCACATCCCTCAGACCCATATTGTTCTTTATGTTTCAGCCACAGGGGGATCTGGGTCAAATAACCTGCACCTACTGCTCCACATCTCCCATTGCTCCCATCACCTGCAGAACAGACTCTCAAGTTGTCACAAAGCTCTTCTAGATCTGACTCCTGTCCCATTGTTACCAGTCCCTAATTTTTAGAAAATGGACACCTGCTGGTTCTTCACTCCAAGCCTTTGCACATATACCTAGCATTCTTGTCTAGAACAGTGATTCTCAACCTTGGCTGCACATTAGAATCACCGGGGAATCTTTTTAAAATCCTGACTTCTGGGCCTCATCCTCCGGATATCCTGTTTCTTTGCTACTAATGTTGTGGCCCTACCTCATAACAAAAGAAACAGAATTTCCAGAGAATGAGGCCCAGAAGTTAGGATTTTAAAAAGATTCCCAGGTGATTCTAATGTGAAGCCAGGGTTGAGAACCACTGGGTTAAACTCAGTCATCATTAGGTGCATTGCATTTTGTGTAATATACTGTTTGAACCCTCTCAGGTGGAATTCAGATCCCAGTTTGTAACAGGAATGGTGAGCTGAGGATTTTCCCATGGTCTTGTCTTGTAAAGCCAAAGAATGAAAAATAACTGATCAGAAGATTTCAGCAAAAATGTGGCAAATTTATTGCAAGCAGATTCAGACTCCCTAAGTGAGGAGGGGGACCCAATAATGGGTTGCCCATGAAGACATGTGGTCTAGGGGTATCTATTTGCTACAAACCTCCTCTCTATCCCTGTCATCACCTGATTGGTTTCCTCAATTTTTATTTCCCAGTAAGGAACCTGAACTTTCACTGTTTCTATGCCTTAGTTCACCTTATTGTTGTAGACTCTCCCTAGTTTCCCATGTCTACCACTGTGAGTCCAGAAACATTTTATTATTTCTGCATGGTTGTTGCCTGTGATTTATGATTGCTCAAACTGCCATGTCTGGCCCTGTCTAAGTCCCACCTGCCTTTGTTTTGCACTGGACCTTCCCTGTCTGCCTGTATGTGAAGTTAACTTTTCTTACAGTCACTCACTGACCATTGGGAATATTGGTGTTTGGGAACCTTAGTGATGCTGGCACATGACAACGTTAGGCTTCAGTGGCTGGTGGCTGATGTCTGGGGAGGGTTGTCTACAACTGACTCTTTGTTTGGAGATATTATTTCAGATTCTGTAATGCTCAGAATGCTCCTTGAGGTGAAAAGTATTATTTCAATTATTCCTGAAGACCACACATATCAATGGATTTATATACATAATATTTTAATTGATTTTTAAAGAGAGAGGAAGGGAAAGAGCGAGAGATATTCACTGATGAGCTGGATTCTGCCCACCCCCACATTGAGGACTGAGCTCACATGCCCCCCTTCCTGTGCCCTCACTGGGAATCAAAGTGGAAACCTTTCTGAGAATGGGACCATGCTCAACCAACTGAACCACCCCAGGAGGCTGATATCTCATTTGAATATAAAAATATCACATGATTAAGAGAAAAAGCAGGCTATGAGAGAATATACATAATCCTATCCTATTTGTTTAAAAACATAATATGAAAGGATACAAAGGACAAAAGTTTACATTCCATACGCTATTAGGATGTCTGTAGTCAGCACACGTTGTGGAACTACGGAGCGAACACTGACTGAAAACTTACTACAGGTGCCAGGCGCTGGATTCTATGATTTACAAGCAATTTCCCCTTTAATCCTCTTTGCAACCTGAGGTGTTTGAACCATCTATTTTATGAAGAGTAATTCAAGTAAAATGCCTGATTATAGAGTTAAAGGCAGGCCTGGAAAACAATCCATGCGTTTCTAATAACAGAGTGCTGACTTCTAATGTTAGGGTCTGCTGCCTCCTTGAGAGTAGAATTGTTCATGGATATCCATTAGGAGAGGATATATGCTATAGTGAGTAACAAACAGCCCCGAAGCTTTAGTGGCTTATACTAAAGAATCTTTTTCTTCGTGCCATATATCCACCCTGGTTCTCAAGTGACCAGGATAAAGGAGCAGCCACCATGTAGGTACCTGCTAGGTATTAGTAGAGATGAACAGAGAGAGTGGACAGTCTATGGTTCCAGACTCTTGTGTTAGAAGACAGGCTTCACTACCAGCACCTTTCATTGGTCAAAGCATATCATGGGGCTGCAGTCAAATTCAGGGAGTCAGGGGGGGAACCTGACAAACTTGATGGGCCCCATGAAGGCAACCACATGGTGCCAATCAATCTGAGGAACTTTGCAGGGGTGAAGGAAAAGAATGGGGATTAGTAGGAATTAACTGCATGACTCAGTCAGAATGGTTCACTTTCTCTTCATCCAGGTGCAATTTGTCCTTGAGCTGCCCTAAGCCATCATGAGCAAGATTCAAAAGAGTGAACTTCGAAAAAAGGATTTTCTTTAGTGTTCACTGGCAGTAAACACATAACCACTTCTGAGTGTGACCTTGTTTAAATCCCTGGCTACCTCAGTTCCCACACTGTGGTGAGGGTGAAGACACACATATTAAGGGAGTTGATTGGGAAGGGTACAGGACTACAAGCATTCCAGCATTCCATGTTCTTTTTTTTCTTTTAAATATATTTCTTTTATTGATTTCAGAGAGGAAGGAAGAGGGAGAGAGAGATAGAAACATCAATGATGAGAGAGAATCATTGACTGGTTGCCTCCTGCATGCCCCGCTACTGAGGGTTGAACCCACAGCCCAGGCATGTACCCTTGGCCAGAACCGAACCTGGGACGCTTCAGTCCACAGGCCAACACTCTATCCACTGAGCTAAACTGGCTAGGGCACATCCACATCCTTTTACATTAACATCAGTCACTACCCTGCCTCCAAGTCTCTTTGTCATTTGCATTGCCCTGGTGAGCACACCCACTGGGGCTCATGGTGCAAAATGCTGACCTTTAAGTCAATGGCGATCCTATGGTTTCTATTCATTCTGTGCATGAACCTGTGCTAAATGCGGGCCCACCATAGTTTTCTCCACCCCCAATGGAGAGAGCATGGGGTTGCTTCTTCCTCCTGGTCACAGTGCTCCCAGATGGCCATGCACACCCAGTAGATTACCAGGATACTGAAGCTAGGGAGTGATGCTCTCAGCAGCCCCAGGCACCTTCCTCTATTAAGCATAAGCCTTGCTTTCACATGGGCAAGGGAGTGATCTGTTCTTCAGGGACAGGAGTCTCACAGGACTCTCCCAGCCTCTCCAGGGATGTCCAGGTGCTGATTCCTATAGGGGAGTCTTCGACCTAGGAGTTGACCCCTCAGTGTTCTCCTGTATCACCCATAAGCACCTGAAAACATGAATCAGCCTGGATGGAAAGCAGCAGTCAAGGGCAAGCACAGCTATGATCAGTAAGGATGAAGGGGGTGGACACTGTTGACTGTTCTAGATGAGGGAAGAATCAAATCCCCTGCCATTGGGAGCTGACATTCTAGAGGAGGACATCCCAAAAACAATGGGGCAGGATTGCTATGACAGGTGGTAAGAGCTCAGCCAGAAAGCAAAACCAGGGTGGTCACTGCAGGACTCCCTGAGAAAGTCTGGGAAGGGTGGCAAGATCCAGGACTGGTGCATACGGGTGCATATTTCCTCTGAGCCCAGTTGTATTAAAAAGTAAAACATTCACCTATACCACAAAAGCTTGATAAATAAAACATATCTATATAAAGAATATTTATCAGAATCATCTGATCTCAGTGGAAGCCTGTCTTCTTTCACATAAGAGGCTAATAGAATCAAGACCACAAATTTCAAAATAATCCTACATAATTTGTGTCATAGTCATGATCCCCTCATTGCTTTTATGTATGCACAAAAATACCCAATGGTTTCTGAATAAAATGATTATTTTTTAACTTAGATTAGTATTTGAGTGAAAAATTTAACTCACCGATGTGAGAAGGTGATTCTGAGGGATTCCAACATAACTTTGAAAACTGAGGAGTGTAGATCCCATGTTGCACGAGAAATTGCTTTTCCTAGAGAAACCCCCATTTCTAATGTCTAAAAACACTAAGCAGAAAGCATGAGTAGCCAACTTGCAGTCTTTATCATTTTTCCCCTCACTTTAGGATGCATTTTTCCCCATTGACTTCTAGAGACAGTGGAACAGTGGGAGAAAGTGAGGGGGGAGAGAGAGAGAGAGAGAGAGAGAGAGAGAGAGAGAGAGAGAGACATCGATCGTTGTCTACCTCACTTGCTCTGCACTGGGCTTAAAGATAAACCCCCAACAGAGGTCTGGGCCCTTGACCAGGAATGGAAACAGAGACCATTCGCTCCTTGATCCACAGCCCTAACCACTGAAAGAGCTGTCCAGGTCTTGCAGTCTTTCTTAAAAAGGGGAATCCCCTGGAAACCTCTTGGAGCTGATGTTGGGTTTCTAAAGTTCATTTCTTCAGACAGATGTATTATGTCTAAGGCTCATTATCTCAAATATTATTTCTTCTGTTCCATATCTTGCTCCATTACTGTGAACTTTTGCCAGATTTTCTGAAATACTGTGGAAGCTTACCATTGATACTGCTCCCCTGTAAATTTTGGTATTGGTCATTTTCCTCTGGAGAACTATCTTTGTGGTCAGTATACTAAAGTACATTACAGATACACTTTCAAGCAA